TCTGTAAACTTTCATTAAATTTAATAATAATAAAAAAATTTATTAAAAAAAAAAAAAAGGAGAGTGGGCACCCCGGACAGTTTTGAGAGATTCAACTATAACACTTGACAATAATTGTACACTGAACCTGCTATTGGTGGCGTTAAGTGTTTTGGGGTTTGTGTCTTTGAATTGTTTCTTTTTGTTTTTTCTTGTTGTGTGCTGTCAAGTCAGACCTGACTGACACAGGAGGAGACTGCCCATCCTTCTCCAGTGGAGCATTTGGTGGACTCGAATGGCGTGCCTTTGGGATTGCAGTGCAGCTTCTTGTCACTAGGCCACCAGAGCTCCCTTTGCTTTCAAATTCAAATAAACTCTGGTTCTAAAAATATTTTAAAAATTTAAAAAAAAATATTTACAGCCTTGGGAACTCTACCACAACAAAATTCCGAGTTTGGTTTTGGGTTTTTGGCCTCCTTTGCCTGTTTCCCTTTCTATTCTTAATTGCTTATGTTCTCCATTAGCTTATCTTTTGGACTGAAATTTTACATTTTCTTTTAAACAACTAGAGACATCTAGAAAAGTATGAAAAGTACAGTTTCTGGCTTCATTTCTATTAGATTCAATGTTTGGCAAAATTAACCTGTTGTTAGATTCCATCGAGTCAAGTACGACTCACAGTGCCCCTATAAACAACAGATCTAAACCCTGTCCTATCCTGTGCCATCCTCACCATCTCTGACACACTAGTGCCCACTGCTGCAGTCACTGTGTCAATCTGTCTTGTTGGGGGTTTTCCTCTCTTTCACTGACCCTCCACCTTTCCAAATATGATAGAAATTAGATGATGTGGGCCCCTGAGAGAGGCCATGGCTGAGAGAGGGCAACTACTGGGGGCTGGTCTTGTTTCTGTCTCTGGATTTGGAGGCTAGTGTCATAGGAGCTCACAGTTTAATCAGAAAGATGGGGGATCCCCTCTCGTATGATCGACAGCCTCTGAAGACCTGCTGGAGGGTCAGCTATAAGTTGGTTCCAAACCAAGGACATCTAACAACATACAACCACCATTAGTGGAAAGTCATTTGGCAGAATGTCCCCGACCCGTGCAGCTTCCTCGCTCCACCCCTGTGGGTAGGCCCTGCCTTATGACTCTGGACACAATTATGAGTCTTGTTTTGTCCAATAGAACAAGAGCAAATGTTATGTAGGCAAAAACTTAAAAAAGTCTTTTGCACTTCAGCACCTGCCCTCATCTGCTACTTTTAAGAACAATGAAACAGTACTGTGTGAACGAGTCTGGGCAAGCCTACCAAAGGAACAGGACTGGAGACAGAAGGCCAAGCCACCTCCCACCGCCCCGGATGATATTAAGTCAGTCACGAGAAGTGTGAGCGAGGCCATCGAGATTGCCCAGCCTCAACCAAGCTTCCAGGTGACCACAGAGCTCAGCTGAGCCAGCGTGGAGCAGAACTGAGGAGCCATCCTGAGAAATAAATGTCTGGGCTTTAAGTTTTGGTTCTAGTGTGGCTTATGCTCCCCTGAATGGTGCAAAGTTAAGAAGCTCAGCTACTAACCCAAGACTTGGTGGTTTGAGAGCACACAGGTGTCTAACCTGGCAATCTAATTCCAAAATAACAGCCCTTGAAAACCGTGTGGAGTTAGTTCTGTTCTGACACACATGAGGGGACCACCACCTCCTGGAACTGAATTGACAGTCACTGTTAAGCAGCAAAGATTAACTAATAGGATGCTGCTGTCGTTATGTGCTGTCAAGAACCAACTCATAGGTGACCCTCCAGTGGATTTTCAGAAGCTGTAAATCATACATGAAGAAACTGTCCATTTTTCTCCCAGAGCAGCTGGTAGATTTGAACTGATTGCCTTTAAGTGGCAGCACAACTCCTTATCCATCAGGTCACTAGAGGTCCAATGAATGTTAAAATTAAAGGTAAGGAGTCAGAGAGATGCAGTAGGATACAAGTTGTTGTTGATTGCCTTCAAGTCTAGCACGACTCACAGCAACCCTATGAACAAAAGGCCCAAAAGCCTTTCTATAGCTATCATCATTTATCAAAGTTTATAGAGTTTGTGGAGGCATGTTGTTTAGGAAGTGGATTAAAAGGTGGTTCAAACCTATCAGCTATCCCAAAGCTGAGACAGTCTGCTCTTGTAAAGATTTATAGCCTTGGAAACCTTGTATTGTTGTTTTGCCAAAAATGTAGATTGGTGTCAAAAGTGTTGATTATAGAACCAAGCAAGCAGAAATTATTAACAATCTCAATCTCTTCTCCATCTATCGTGGTACTGCCAGTTGGCCTAGTGCTGAGAATTTTTGTTTTCTTGATATTGAGCTTCAATCCATATTGAAGAAGGCAGTCCTTGACTTTCTGTAGCAAATGCCTCAGGTCTTTTTCAGTTTTGTCAAGCCAGGTTGTATTATCTGCATAACACAAGTTGTTGATGAATCTTCCTCCAATCCTAACGCCACATTCCTCCTCATAAAGCCCAGCCTCCTAAATGAACTGTTCCACATAGATTGAAAAGGCATGGAGACAGGACACATCTCTGGCATACTCCTTTCATGATTTTAAACCATGCAGTGTTTCCTTGCTTTGTTCTGACTACTGCCTCCTGGTCCAAGGATAGGTTTCGCATGAGCAGAATCAAGTGTTTTGGGATCCCCATTCTTCGCAAGATTAGCCACAATTTGTTGTGATCCACACAGTCAAATGCCTTTGCATAGTCAATCAAACACAGAAAGACATTCCTCTGGTACTTTCTGCTTTCAGCCAAGATCTATCTAACATTGGTACCAGGTTGTGCCAAGAGATCTGGAGGACATCTCACTCTCTGTTCTGAAGCAGGACTGACATGGGGGGGTTGGGGTTGGGAAGAGAATAGGAAAAGAGTAGATAGATAATGACCACTGTATTGGAACAAATGAGGGAGAGAATTGTTCAAAAGGAATATACTAGGGAACTCTGGTGGCCTAGTGGTGAGAAGCTGTGCTGTAGTCCCAAAGGCATGTGGTTTGAACCCACCAGCTGCTCCAACTTGGCAATAAATAAAAGGAATATATGATTAGGCATCATATGTAAGACAGCAGTCAGAACAAGAGGTACATGGCAAAGAAGACTGGGTAGAGGAGAAAGGGAGGAAATTGTGCAATAATGAATCAATTTTTTTTTTAAAAAGGAAGTTAACTAGGGGAGGGAAGAAAAAGTAGGGGCAAAATGTTCAACAATGAATGAATGAAAATCCAACTTTTCTGTAAACTTCTATTAAAATCATAATTACATTTAAAAAATTTTTAAAAACCAAAAGAAAAAAAAAGTGAACCGACAGTGTGTGGAAATTATCAAACAATATCACAAGTAAGACCCTACTGAAGATTATCCAAAAACGTCTGGAACACTGTATCAACAAAGAACTGCCAGATGTGCAAGGTGGGTTTAAAAGAGGCCATGGCACTAGGGACATTACAGCCAACGTTAGATGGAAACCCTATAGGGCAGTTCTATTTTGTCCTATAAGATTGCTAGGAGTCAGAACTGACTTAATGGCAGTGGGAGTTTGGGTATTGATCAACATACAGTATTGCTACATGTAATTTACTGTTATCTTTTTGAAGATAATCATTCCAACAGATGATCTTTTTTTATGACATTGTTCAAAATACTATCATCTGGGAATGACCTGGGTCAATGGTATGGATGTCAGGAACCCTGACAGAAATTTGAACAAGGTTCAACTCTAACAACAACTGAAATGCTTGAGCCACTAACAGGTGTTATGGCTCCAGGTTCACTCTCGACTAGGTGTGGATCAACATAACTCTTATTCAGCATTTCATACCTGAGAAAGCACCAGTCGTTCATCTGAAGATGAGCTGTTTAAGTCTCCACCTCTAATACCTGTACTGCTTATACTCCTAATAGCAGTCTCATCTTACTGAAGGTTCTAATCCAAAAAAGACACTGATATAAAGATGAAGATCATTTCTTTCATAATGGAAGGAAAGCTGGAAAAATAGGATGTGAGGAAGGGCTGTTTAATTCAGCTGTTGTGACAATTATTAAGGATAAGAACAGGATTTTAGAGGCATTATAGTTATGTCATAAAACTGGTAATTTTAACAAAAAAAAGGTAAAGGCCAATCCACACAAAGTACTGGATTTAGGTCAGAAGTGAGCTATGAAAACTCAGCCTGTGGCATGACTTTCAGTCAAGCAATAAACAGGCCCCTAAAGGAATGAACAACAACCAGGAAGGTGGTCATTCCTTAGAATAACCACACAAGGTCAAAAAAGAGCAGCATTTGCTCAAGAATAAAGCCATAAGGCAGAAAGAGGGAGAATAGAAGGATTAATGGGGAATTAGGATTATAGGGAGGAAGTAGGATGACTGCCATCACATTGTGAATATTGTAATAAATGTTATAAAACAAAATGTAACCCCATGATTTTTCACCCCTCAGTTACCCTGCCCCCCTTCCTCTCTCCCTTTGGACTTTTATACACATCTTACTAGTTATCCTTCTGTTTTTATAATAATGGTCTTCTACATTATTTGTCCTTATGAGATTGAGTAAGTTCACTTAGTGAATGAAGGAATGTGTGAAACACAATGTACATGAACAAAACACCATGCATATGAATTTTGTATGCAAAGCAATATAAAACTAAAAAAAGAAAAACCCCAATGTGTATGAATGGTTGAATGAAAACCAAGCATATGAATGTATGAACTAAGCAAACCAAATCTGCTTTGGGAAACTTCTCTCACATTGAAATTGAAAAAATAAGGAATATGTTAGGACTCTGCTGTAAGTTGGGGATGACCTGGAAATCAGTCACTATTCAATTTATGTTTTCCCTAAAAGATGACGGTCTCCTGTGGTTCTGCTTCCACTTCTATAACTACAGCAGAACAGAGATGACTGGGGAGTGCCCCTCCATTGCCAGAGTGGAAGAAAGGGTGAAAAAATAAAGGCAAGCAGGCCCATGGCTGAGACTCACCACTGGAGGGTCCACGGCGAATCTCCACCGGGAGGGGGCTGGGGCTGCAAGGCACTGCCTCAGTGGCAGCTTTGCACATGTCCTGTGGAAAAGAGGCACCTGAGTTCCCATCAGGCAGAGGACCTGGGGATCCAGAGATCTAGGGGAGGGCAGCGGGCCTGGGCTGCTAGACAATGATTTCAAAATATTATCTCCTAACCAACCATAAGAAAGTGTCAGACACACCTACATGGAGGGACTTTTTAAAAAAAACACCGTAACATCTCAAACTTATTGCCGTCATGTCAGAACTGACTCATAACTGACCCTTCAGCAGGTTCCCAAGGATGAAAACTGCACAGGAAGAGACTGCCCATCTTTCTCCTACAGAAATACTAGCGGATTCAAACCATGAGAGGCCTCTGTGTTAGCAGTGCACCCCCAATGGACTACAGCCGATAAAATATTCAGCCAGTATTCTTCAAAACTGTCAAAGACAGAGCAAAAGACTAAGGAGACATAAGGAACAAATGTAATGTGGGAGCTGGGATTGGACCTTAGAACAAAAACATACATTCATAGCAAAACTGATGAAACCCAAAGTCTGCTGTCTAATGTAACAGCACAATATAAATATTAATGTCTTCATGTTGATAAATGCAGCACCATTACATGTTATCACTAAGGGATGCTGGATAGAGAGGTTGTGGAAACTCTCTGGAGTATTTATGGAACTTTTCCTTAAGTCTAAAATTATTATCCTACCTAATGGTAAGGAGTTACCCAATTCGAATCTCCCAGACACTCTGTAGGACAAAGCTAGGCAATCGCCTCCTGACTGATTTTCAGCCTCTAAACCTGTTGAAGGATCAGCTATGAGTCAGTTCTGACTACACAACACCCAACAACAATAAGGATAAAGAAAAGAAAACGTTTTCTCCAGCAGCCTTGTCTGTGACAACTGTGATAATGTCCTTATTTTGAGAAGGCCCTCACTGTGGAGTTCCAGCCAAGAGAGGCCAGAGGCCTGGTGCTGGGAAGGAGGGAGACACCGAAAATGCCAGGGATAACCACTGCAGCTGCTGTTTGGACTGGGGAAGAACTTGAGAAAGCAGTCTCCTCACTCAAAGGGCATGGCAGAAATGAGTCTGTGTAGGAACAGGGTGGAGATCGTGTCAGGCAGAGAGCAGCGAGTGCTTGGTCAGGGTGAGCTGTTACAACTTCACAAATTAACCACACACACAACTTAGTGAGTGGCCACACCACCTTGTGTGGGAGTCTGTGTGGACGGTCCAGCTCAAAGACAAACTGATGGTGTCAATGCAAGTGGAGGAACGAGGACCGGAAGGTGACGTACTGATCGCACACAGGGGCAGAGATGGATCTCGGTGCTGATGCCTACAGTGAGAATTATTGTGGAGTCCTGTCCAGTCAGAACCCTCCAGTGGGTTTTCAGAGACAATAAACTGCACAGGAGGGGATCGCCCACCTTTCTCTCACGGAGCAGCAGGTAATTCAGTACTTTTGAGTTGGTAGCATAATTCCTTAGTCCTCCCAGGGAGAATTAGTAATGATAATAAAAGTTTATACCACACAGGATTTTTTTATAACTTATTCACATTTCACAGATGGCAAAAGTGAGGTTCTGAGAGGGTAGATAGGTTTCCAAAGTCACCCAGCAAATGGGAGAACCAGTCCCACAATCCAGGTCAGCTGCTTTTGCTGCTAGGCCTCCTCATGACTCGTCACTGTAGATGTACCATCCCTACCTTGAACCCCCGGGACAGAGGACACTCACCTGGCGATGTACCACCTTGGCATGCTTGAGGATGGCGATAATGTCACCCACAACGGTCACACCCAATTCATTCATGATTTCCTTGTTGAGATCCAGCAGCATGCTTTTCTGGATCCTACAGAGGGAAAGCCAGAGATGAAGCCCCAAGTGGATCAGGGTGGACTGGGGCCCCCAGTTCCCCACTCCCCAAGATAGTTCTGTCCCTCTGCCACCTCACCGATTGTCCACAAACATCACGGCGTAGTTGACAGCGGGCCCAGGAGGTATGCCGGCTTCCTTAAAGAACTGGATCCACTCAGACGTGGCTGGGGGATTGGACAGAGCTCATGATTCAGTTTATTCTCTTTGGTAAGCAGCAGTATTAAAACTACAGCAGCAGAAATTCCCACAAATTAAGTGGCCAGACACCGTCTCGCTCTGCAAAATACTTCACGTAGCACCAGAGAACGAAGCCCTTTTCACAAGCCAAAGAGGCAAGCAGTGTTGCGATATCTCTTCTCTTCACTTTGCCAGTGAGGAAACTGAGGCAGAAGAGGCTGCACACACAATTCATCCCAGCACACATCACTAGCAAGAGGCAGAGCTCCTGGGCATGTGCACTTAACCCCTTCCCCCCGCTTCTCTCCACCTGCCTGCCTGCCTAGCTGCAGCCCCAACATAACTGTCACACACACTTAGGCAGGGACTGGAGCGAGCAGATCCCCTGGATTCTCTGTCTGGAATGCCATTGGCCAGGCCAGGCCCAAAGGACATCAAGATTGACAGGTGGATGGAAAGAGCCTTACTGAGCCCTCTCCAGGCCCGAGATTCCTGGTCCCAGAACAGCCAAGAGTGAGGAGTGGGCTTGTAAGCATGAGCTCTGGAACCTGAGGTCAAATCTTGCCTCTACTACTCATAGCTGAGTGACTTGGGGCAAGTTTTGAACTATCTCTGTACCTCGGTTTCCTCATCTGTAAACTGCACACTGCAGGACACAAGACGCCCTCATGGAGCTGACATTCTAGACTAACAGCACCCACAGCCTTGGGTCACTGAGCAGATTCAATGAGCTGTTGTTACATGCTGTCAAGTTGGAACTGACCCATAGCTGACCTTCCAGAGGGTTTTCAAAGGCTGTAAATCGCACAGAAGGAGATTAATTGCTTGGGAAGAGATTAATTCCATAGGAGAGATGCCCATCTTTCTCCTCTGAAGCAGATGAGGGATTCAAACCACCTGCCTTTAGGTTGGCAGTGCACCTCCTTACCACTAAGCAAGAGAATGTGGGGTTTAGCCAACTCTGGTCAACTCACTGAGGCTGCTATTACTAAACAGCACTGGGTACACACCACCCACTAAACTTTCCTGCTTCTAATCTTCTTTCTTGGCCTTTGGAACGCTCAAACCAACTCTCTGTGGCAGACCAAGCAGCTTGCTAATTCTAAGTAAATTTTTTTTCTAGTATTTCTGAAATTAGACTTGATCTCATGAGCAACGGTGTGCGGAGTTTAATGGACATTCCCCTGCTCGCCACCCCCCTTCCACCGCCATAAAGCATGTAAAACAATAAAATATCTAGCAAGTTTTGCTATTTTAGATTTTAGATTACATAAAATATGGTATGATTAGACATGTTTTGCTTGGTGAGATATCTGAGGATCAGAAAGGGGATATGCACTCACCCTTGGATCAGACAGTGGTTGGGAGGAAGGGCAAGTGAGGTATTCAGTTCCTCCAGATTTCCCTCAAAAGCTCACAGGAAAAGGGTATCTAGTTTAAAATACCATCCATGGGCCTCTGGATTCCATTTGCCAAAACCGGACACCTCATCTAAGTATCAGAAACACCACACAATGGAGCTCTGGTGGCCTAGTGGCAAGAAGCTGCACTGCAATCCCGAAGGCGCACGGTTCAAAACCACCAGATGCTCTGCTGGAGAAGGAGAGGCAATATCCTCCAGTGCCAGTCGGATCTGATTCAACTGTAGAGACACACACACACACACACACACACACACACACACCCTCCAACCAAAAGCAAAACACGAAAACCCCCACAATGACTCCCATTCACTGCCTCTGAGTCAGTTCTAACTCATAGTGACCCTCCATCTATTTTCAAGGCTGTGAATCTCTACAATGTTTATCATTTTCCTGGTGGACTGGAACCACTGATCTTAAGAGTTAGCAAGCAGCCTGCTATGCTATACATTATGCCACCAGGGCTCCCTATAATGACTCCATTTATATGAAATGCCCCAATAGGCAAATCTCTGAGACAGAAAGTAGTCATTGCTGGGCAGTGGGAAGAGGAATTACTGCTAATAGGGATGGACTCTTTGAGGGAGAAGGAGGAACAATGAGGAAATATCACCAATTATGATAATGGCTACAAAACTGTGATGACACTAAAAATGGCTGAACTATAATATACATTTTAAATAGGTGACTTTTAGAGTGTATGACTTAGGAATTATATCTCAAATGAGGTATGATTAAAGATACTTTTTAAAAGCACCTCAGAAGTTGGTGGCAGCTATCAGCCTGAATTTAAGCACAAGATTATCAGGACCTGGTGCCCAAGGAGGGAGATCTTGTGGTCTAATAGGTAAGGGGTTGCGGTGCCAACCCAAAGGTGTGTAGTTTGACATCATCAAATATTCCTCAGGAGAAAGACAGGCATTCTTATGTGATTTACTGCCTCTGAAAGTACACTAAAGAGAGTCAGCTAGGAGTTGGTTCTGCCAAGTCAGCAATGAGTTTTTTGAGTGAATAAGGGAGCTCTAGTGGTCTTGTGGTAAGAAGCTGTGCTGCAGTCTCAAAGATACCAGTTCAAACCCACCAGCTTCACTTTGGGAGAAGGATGGACAATCTCCTCCTGTGCAATTTACCATCTCTAAAAACCTGCTGGAGGGTTAGCTATAAGTTGGTTCCAACCAGACAGTATGCAACAACAGCAACAAGGAACTGCAAGAAGTCCTCACACTGGCACACAGCACCATGTAAAGGAGAAGACCAGAAAAAAAAGGGAAAACTTTCAATGAGATGGACTGACAGTGCTGCAGTAATGGATTCAAACCTAACAGGGATTGTGCAAATGATACAGCGCTGGGCAGCGTTTAGTTCTATTGTTAGAGACCGATCCATGAGTGGAGCAGGCTCAATGGCATCTAACAAAGTCCTGGACACGGACCTTTCCTGATTTTAAGCCATGCAGTATCCCATTGTTCTATTCCAACAACGCTTCTTGGACTATGTACAGATTTTGCTCATGCAGTCATTTGAAAATAACAAGGGGACACTACATGGCTTAAAATCAGAAAAAGTGTGCATCAGGGCATCATCTTTTCTCCCTACCTGCTCAATCTGTATGCTGAGCAAAAAATTCAAGAAAATGGACTATATGAAGAAAAGTGGCATCAAGATTGGAGGGTGGAAACCCACAGCGTCCCTTTTCAGCAGGAAGTAGCTAAGAGAATACGCCATCCCCTTTTCCTTATGACTCAGGGTGAAGTCTCTCTCAGGGAGGA